CTGCCATGTACAGGCATTTATAACAAGCAACAAGGCTGTTTCAATTCAGTTACTTCCTGTACTATCAAACCAACCTGACAAGTACATATGTATACATAGTAAAAAGTGAAAGAGGTAGATTTTTTTGGTGTACAACTTCAGGTATAAAGCACTGACTGTTACGTACTGAGAGTTACATATATATAGAATACAACACGGGGTATTCCGTATCGCCCGAGGTATCGGCCCGACCGCTGGTCGGATCGCCCGACGGCCGCAGGCCGGAGGGCGATCCGACTCGCGGGAGGGCCGGGACCGAGGGCGATGCGGAATACCCCGTGTTGTATTTTATTTATATCATACCCACCCAAGAAAACACGCCTTTCAATGCAAGATGAGCCAAAAGTTGGTGCCACTGAACCCTCAAATGCAACAACATCAGTTCCAACGTCCGGATTCTGTATTTTTCGAAAGGGGCACACGCGGTTAGGGAGAAATGCGTTCGCATCGTTCTATGGAAGCTATGGGCCGCGATAACGTTCGATAACGGGTTCCGGACCGGGCCGTACTTTACTTTATATATAGAACGTTGCGTTGCGTTAAAGCTCGGAAAATTGGGCCAAGGCGGATCACAATATTGTAGTGATGTGAACTAAGTAAATGTCTTAGGACTGCTCCACCCACGCATACCACTATAGGCAGACCAAGCCACGCACCAGTAATAGAGGACAGATGTTAGACTTGGCCCTCCTACAAACTTGTCACTGCATATATGCACACAGTAGAGTACAGTCACGAAAACTCCTCCGGTGTGAGATTCATTATTGAGTATTCTTGCGTGTTTGAGAGAACACTACAACAGTAAATTATATCATCTCATCGAGGTATCCATCCCTTGATCTAAATTATTCGACAAGATTTCGGTGACCTTCAAGCATCGCCCACTCGACCCCCCCCCACCCCACACACACACACACACAACTGTTGGCATCACAACTGTGTTCTTCTGTGGTCGGCCGCCATATTGTGGACGTCGGAACACAAGTAGTCACTCTGAATTACTTTCAAATAATAACTTGCTAAACAAAGCAGGATCGAGCGCAGTATAACACACTCATACATTATGTCAACAACTAAGCCTCTTTTCCTCTCCTCGTACCATAAACTTCAGGTGTTCATATCATACTCTCTCTATAGGTCCGCGCAACGATAAAAACGCCACCAGACCGACATGGAGTCTAAACCCGCTCCTCTCGCCGTCTGCTTGGCTGTGGTTTCCGTGTTCATCGCCCAACATGGACGGGTTAGAGGACAACTCTTCTCCCCACCTGTGTGTCAGACCTGGAACTCAACAACTGTCGTGTGTAATGGGAATACGTATATACCAACTTATAATCCCGTTCCGCGGCCGCCTACATGGGCCCGAGAGCCTCTGACCCAAGTACCTCCCGGCATCCCCGAATCTGTCATCACGGTGGATCTCAGTGGGAACAACATAACTATACTGTATAACGGCTCGTTTAGTGGGTTAAGAAACCTGAGATCCTTAGACCTGACTTATAATCCTATACAGACTATCGAAGTCGGTACGTTCGCTGGGTTGGAGAAGTTAGAACGTCTTTATATGAGTGGGTGGTGGATTGTTAAATTTTTGTGGACACCCATCTATTCTCTTCAAAATGGACTTTTCCAAGATCTGCGAAACCTGAACTCTCTGACCGTGGAGACTCACACAGATACAGTCGCCAGTGAGGGAGTGTTCACGGGGTTATCTAAACTCAGGCATTTAGAACTCCGCTTGAAAAATATCAACAATCTACCCGATCATATTTTCGATCCTTTGACTTCATTGGAAAGTCTAGAGATATGGGAAAGCGACTATCACTATGACATAGAAGAGGACCGAAATACCACCATGAGAAGAGTCCACAGCGGAAGTGGGTTCTTACAACGACGCCTGCTGTGGGCACCGCTGCACAACCTTAAAACATTGAGACTGTGGGGTCTACCAAGAGCCAGTGACTTCTACTTTGGACCTGTATTTAGAAACATGTCTAAGTTGGAGAGTATAAACATATATCCACTTATTCCCCTCAATGCTGAAATGTTCCGGCCACTGTTACCAACTCTGAAACATTTAATCACTGAAGCTCCGATAGCTCCCGGCCTGCTGAAGTCACTCCCACATCTGCAGTCCCTGCATTCAGACGTTTATACTTTAAATTCCCTTCGCGACATTATGGACGTTTTGCCTGAACTACGACACACGCAGATTCAGGAGTTGTCATTTGGCAATGTGGTATTCACCTTATCACAACAAATATTACCTTCTTCTACATGGGGAATTCTAGTAAAGCAACGGCCCTGGCTTTTCGAACCTAACTCCGGATTCATTTCAGTCATACCAGCTAACGCCTTTGCTGGTTTGTCACATTTGCAAAGGCTGGAATGGACGCACAGCTCTTTGGAGACTTTACACGACAAGGCGTTCAGCGAACTGTCCTCGCTCACTCATCTTGATTTGAGCCATAACAACTTGCAAACCTCCCAAGCTCAGCTTCCATGGCCAGAGACGTTGGACTATCTTGATCTCAGTTACAATAACCACCATGTGACAGACCTTTATCATTCAACCTCAGTGGTTTAAAAAGTGTGAATCATCTGAATTTGAGTCACAATGAAATTGAATATGCTGACATCGATTGTCTACCTAGGAATATTACTGTGCTTGATTTCCAGCACAACAACATAGGATACGTGTATAATCCACTCTGCCTTGCGAGTTTACGGTATCTCGACCTTTCTAACAATAAAATCTCTACTTTTTACTATCGTTCACCATGTGAGCAATCGGTATTAGAAACACTTAGGTTGGATAACAACGCGATAATAGATATATCATACGTACTAGGGCCACAGAATCAAGTAATAATTTTGAAAACGTTGACCCTTTCTCACAACCAAGTCCAGCGTATCAAAACAGGACAATTGACATGGTTGGACCAGCTGGAACATTTGGATCTCAGTCATAACGAGATCAACACCGTCATGCCATCCGCCTTCCGTGGACTATCGCGGCTACAGTTCCTGGATCTCAGTAACAACAAGATAAAGAACATAACACAGATGACATTTGAAGGTTTAGATAACCTCACACATCTAAATCTTGCAGCCAACAGCATAGCAGTGATCGGGGACGCCTATCAGCGTCTGTACGGGTTGAGACACCTGAATCTGAGGAGCAACAGGTTGGCTGTGTTAAATCAAACAACACTGGGTCCTGTTGTCTACCGGTTAGAGACTATCGACATTGCAGACAACCCGTTTCTGTGTGACTGTAAGTTAATGTGGTTTGTCGAGTGGGCCCAGGATAAATACGACAGGGTAGCGAACATCCACAACCCCTATCCTGACGTCGGTCGAAGGTACACATGTTCCCGTCCACCTGGATCAGTGCGTGGAAGACGTTTGATAGACGGGTTGACGCAGAAACAACACTCTAACGACAGACAGGATCCATCAGAACGAAAGTTCTTCGATACAGTCTGTGGTCATGGATTCCGGCCCAACCGCCTCCTGGCCTGTGTGCTCGCCACTTCGGGCATCTTCGTCGCCATGACGACCATTTTCCTGGTCGACTACCACGTCGGCCGTGTTCAGTACTACCTGTGGATGTTGGACAAGTGGAGGAGACCGAAGATTGGAGAAGTAAAGAACCAAGGGCCGCACAGATACACGCACGATGCTTTTCTTGCCTACAACAACCGGGACGTCGGGTGGGTTATAAGGCAAGCGATAGAGAATCTGGAACCTGACTACAGTCTGGTCTTACACGAAAGGGACTTTGCAGTGGGCGCTCCCATTGTGGAAAACATCGCGGATGCCGTGGAAAACAGCCGGAGAACCGTCTGCCTCATCACCAGGAACTTCCTGAAGAGTAAGTGGTGCGAGTACGAGTTCCAGCTGGCCCAGTACCACATGTTTGAGGAGGGGGGAGGGAGGCGTCTCATCCTGGTGTTTCTGGAGAGGATTCCTGGCCAAATGCTGAAACAGTTCCGCCATCTGAATGCCGTAGTAAAGAGGGACACGTACCTGATGTGGCCACACGACGTGCGGAAAAGGCCGCTGTTCTGGGGGCGGCTGCGAGACGCTCTGGGCGATCCTCTACCCCGGGACCCAGAGCCTCAGCAGGAGGTTCAAGCTCCGGAACGGAACATTCCGGAACAACAGGCACGTGATCCGGAACGGAACATTCCGGAACAGGAGCCACAAGCTCTGGAACGGAACATTCCGGAGCAACAAGCTCCGGGACGGAACATTCAGGAAGAGCCGGTACGGAACATTCCGGAGCAGCAAGAACAGGCTCCAGCAAGGAACATTGTGGAAGTGCAGGTCCATGCCCCCGTGCGGAACATTCCGGAACTTCAGGTTGAAATAGCCCCAGAACCAGACGACCAGTGGTTTGGAGATGGGGATGACGTGCCCCTTCTACCGCTGTAGATCAAGATCAAGTTTACTGTGTCAACAGAATGTTGTTTTTGGGTGGGCGTTTTTTTGTTTTCTTTGGAAAATGCATGTTGATTATTCCGTAAAGTCATATCCCCACAAACTATACTCTACTCTGTACAGCAATATGTACTTACCTGTATCAGATAGTAAACTTTACGATTCAACTGTATTGTAACTTCATGTTCACCATCATATGTTTTTATGTCATTTGTTTTCAAATAGCCTTCTGCTACAGTTTTCTATGGACTTATAATGTTTACAACATTTATGAGTTATTAGTTGCCTTTATATTTAAAAAAAGTATGTGTATGAGTAGATATACTACTAGTCTGTACAGCAATATGTAGTTTCAGCTAACGATGGTTGAAAATTGCACAATTTTTTTTCTGCATTTGTATGAATGATTAAATCGTTTTGACCGATACGCTTGGCTTATAATATGTAAGTTTCATGCATAAGTTAAATTTTAGTGTGCTGTCAATTGATAGTTCGCCCTTCGACAGGAAGCAGGTAATGTAGATCCAAACACTCTTGTCAGGGCCAGTATACAGGCCAGCTCCTCTGCTCCAGGGCTAGCCTGGGTGCCAGACTGTTGCCAGGGCCAGTATACAGGCCAGCTCCTCAGCTCCAGGGCTAGCCTGGGTGCCAGACTGTTGCCAGGGCCTGTATACAGGCCAGCTCCTTAGCTCCAGGGCTAGGCTCGGTGCCAGACTGTTGCCAGGGCCAGTATACAGGCCAGCTCTTCGTCTCCAAGGCTAGCCTGGGTGCCAGACTGTTGCCAGGGCCAGTATACAGGCTAGCTCCTCAGCTCCAGGGTTAGCCTGGGTGCCAGACTGTTGCCAGTCTCCCCAGGCCGGCTTAGGGGTATTAGTAAGTAAAGGCCTCTCTTGACATGCACGATCTTTCCAGCTTACGCACTAATTTAAACCGACCCCTTTAAAGTAGATATATGCTGTGCTGTGTTGGCCCGGAGCCCAGTCGCCTCCCACGGCCACTACCGCCCACCTACAGTCGGCAAGTGCTCTGTAGTGGGCCGCCATAGGGGGGCCCACAAGCCCTTTTCCGTAGAGCGTAATCGGCCGTTTTAATTCTACGTAGAGCGTAGACGGACCGCTCTAATATTTTTGCGTAGAGCGTATTCACCGTTTTAATTCTACGTAATGCGTTGTAGGCTAGCCACTTGGAATTTATCGTAAAGCGTCACAGTAATCGAGGGTTTCCGAATTCAGCGTAGAGCGTTGTCGGGACCCCCCACCCCCACCCCCACCCCTTGCAGGCCCTCTCATAGTAGTGAACCCTGAATGACTTTTCAAGCTTCCAAACGCTGTGTGTTGTATGACTCAGGACGAAATCATGAATAACTTTTCATTTCATTTTTATTCATTTATCCAGGGGTAGCATATCGCCAATGACATGTATGCTGACCTGTGTTGGCCCGAAGCCCACGGTCACTACAATTTGCTACTACTTGCTGAACAAGGCAGGATTGGACTTGGATCTCGCGGAAGTATTTCCTCAAATGACGTATGTGAGTATTTCAGCAGGGTTAGGTAATCTCCAGGCAGATTCGGTGGGGCAAGGGAACTTTTTGTTGGCCGCCTGTATCCCTGATTGGCCGCCCCCTGATTAGAGTTCCAGGCACGCTTTATCTCAGACAGAACGGAAATGCTAAGTCTGTCTTGTGAGAGTCTTGTGAGCAGGTCACACAGGTCGCAGATAGACGGGTGCTGCTTCATGCTCTACAGGTAGAGCCTTAGTTTAGGCTCCGGCTTAGTTTTGAGTTTACCGTTTTGTGTACCAGTATCCCATTTTCGCCAGCCAACCGGTAGCGTATGGGACACTGCCCTGCTACTTTCCACTCCTTATTCGTGAGCCGTAGAGAGACGGGTGATTCAGACGGCCGACCCTAAGCGCCACCCTCCCCCACCGCCGGTCCAGCTCTTCTCACAGACTTCATCTTGCTGTGAAGGTGGGTTTTAAACTTTCTATTTCCAACTTGGGTGGTTAAAAATTCCTCTTCGTCTATATATAGGTAACAATGTGGTGCTGTCTCACTCTATACTCTGATAAGATGTTGTTTGAAAAGTCCCAAACTTTAACCACATTTAGACAAATTAATAGATGATGTACATTCTGCCACTTCAGTCCCTGCTAACAGCGCTAGCATTGCAAACCGAACCAGTCTGCTTGAAAACAGTCGAGTCGAAACATCACTCGTTTATTTTAGTAAACACGGTGTCAGATACGGCTGTGACGTTATAGAACAGATGTTGGTATCGTTAACCACACTGACCACAGTCCTTCTAGGAGAAGCCCCATGCAGAAATACGGCTCGGAAAATGGGTCTAGGCAGATCAGAATTATTTCTATCATCTAATTTATTACCGCTGAGGCACCACCGATTGTCAGGGCTCAAAATACTTTTTTCAGGTACTGTTTCTTGTTAAAATCGACATATAT